AAAAGCTGGCCGTGACCGTGGCAACGAAAATCGTCAAACTGTTGGCTCTGCCTGTGAGCAAACATTTTTGGCTATTTTTTTTCGCCGAAAATTTACATAAAAATCGCATTACACTTAACATCCACTTTGCTAAACGAAGCGCATGAAAGCGGGCGCCACGTGGTTTGGGCTCTCGACTGTGCTTTTGTAAGCCGAAGCGCCATGTGGGTGGGTGGGTGTTCGGCTGACTTGGTAAGTGGGCGGTGGGAGTTGCGAGTCCGTTATTCATGTGCGAGCTTGTGCCAGCGGTTTGAAGTGCATGGCGGCCTACGAAAATTAAATTAAAAAGCACACGCCAAAGGACCAAACACTTTGCGTTGTAAACAAAAATGCGAAATTGCAAATGGGCGGCCTGATCTATTTTTGGTGTGTGGATATGTATATTTGGAGCTTTAAAAGAAATAAGTTGGAAATGTGAGCTGTAGCATGGCTTTCACAACATTTTGCACATAGTACAAATAGCTATATATACTAAATATTTCACAATTAATAAACAAAGAAATGCATTTTAAAGCTAATACATATATTTGTTTGCATTTAAAAAAAATGCATTTAATGCACCAGATGCAATATCCCATATGGTCTAGTGGCTAGGACGTCTGGCTTTCACCCAGGAAGCCCGGGTTCGATTCCCGGTATGGGAATCTTTTCTTTCCTTTTTTTCTTTTTGTTTACAAACAACTCTCTTATCACCATTACCCAAATGGACAATATTACATTTTACACATATGAATGATTTGAATATAGTCAAACAAATAAGATTAAACTTATTTTAACAAATTAAAAAAAAATAAATCGCACTTGCGAATACTTCCTAGCAGAGCAAGGTTTCGATCCTCGGACCTCTGGGTTATGGGCCCAGCACGCTTCCACTGCGCCACTCTGCTTACGAGTCCCTAAACGCTATGTTGAATATGAGTAAACAGGGTTGAATGGATGAGATGATTTCAATGGTTACCGTCTTGTGAAATTCATTTTATTAGTAATACTACTAAATACTATAAATACTTCATACTAAATGTATGAAATGAAAATAAGAAAATATAATTTATGTTTAAATTAGAAATATATGGAAGTAACAATAATACTAATAAATACTATAAATACTTCATACTAAATGTATGAAATGAAAATAAGAAAATATAATTTATGTTTAAATTAGAAATATATGGAAGTAACAATTCAACAATAATATTATCATTATTTGAAATTAATTCATTTTAGTACTAAATGAAAAGCTGAAACAAGTTTAAGCGTAAAACTCAGATTACTTAACACAATCCTAAAAAGGCTCTCCTGAGGTTGTGGTTAAACGTTGCACGTTAACTCATAATGAACATTGTGCTCCGTTTTCTGCAAGCAGAGTGGCGCAGTGGAAGCGTGCTGGGCCCATAACCCAGAGGTCCGAGGATCGAAACCTTGCTCTGCTAATTTGTAAATTCCGCGCGGTGAATTTTTTATTTCTCCTTTTTTTAAACATTCTTTGAAGACGTATTTTACATGATTTCTCTGTGGGGAAATGACTGTTAAGTATAACATTTTATGCATCTGCATTAATACCATATCGAATGCATTGGGGCGAATATTTTAGAGCGTGATTCCTGAAATTTCTTTTCGCTCATACCTCAATGCGTGTCAACGGCTCCAGCTCACGTGGATTATGTGTTTACTTGGTGCCGTGGTGGCCACCTCTCTTATCGCGCACCTGCAGCTCGCTCCCACACATCTGCTGAGGCTCTGCATCCCAGTGAGCCATGCATTTTGCCCAGTGGCACAGATACGGCTTTAATAACCACTCGCCGGGTGCGCGACTCTGTTGGTTTTTGCCGCTTCTGTTTGCATAGCTAAGAGATGCGATATGGCTACGTGGCAGGAGCTCGTGAGGCCGTGAAATTTGCCGGTGCTTAAATATTTTTGAAAATTGAAAAAAAAAAGAGTAGCGATGTCGACGAAATTACTAATAACGCTCAGACTCGTTGGAAGTTACCAACCCTGTATGCCAATCAAATTGACATATTTGTCAATAAATGGCAAAAATTTTAATTAATTTTCGCGCCACTTAAAAGCGCGCCAGGAAATTGCACAAAACCATCCAGAGTTGGTGGGGCGAGGTTTGCGGGCCAATGGAAACCAACCGCAAACACTAAATTGCAAATAAATTTGTTTAAATATGCAATGGCAGAGCGCGTCAAGTTTGGCAGAACCCCCATGGACGACGAGTGACCAAATGCTGCGCTACACTGCGACGGTATCACCTGGGAAAGTGGGTAGTGCGGAGTGGGGAGTGGCAAATTTGGGAATGACATTGGTTGGTTTGGTATGGTGGGTGGTTACCAGTGGTTTGTCCGGCGCCTGCTGCACGTGCAGCTGCGACAACGAGACAACAACCAACATGCATATCAAATTTTAATAGCAAAACCCCCAAAAAGTTTCAAGCCACAAAGTCCATTTCCATTGGACTGAAGGGGTTTGGTTGTTCTCCTTGCGGGTTGTTGGTTCTCTGTCGTTTTCGTTGGGTGACATGCTTGATGTACGCTTTTGGTTTTCCCCACGAAGATGTTGCAATGACATTGAATATTGATGAAAATAAATCGAATTTCCGTCAGCCTGGCATCCGGCGTATTCGATAGACGGTAAAAGCAAATGCGAAAAAAAAATGAACTGGACACATTTCCGCCTGGACGTAGAGTCCCCTTTCTTTCTATTGAGACAGCAAAAGGGTTCCGCCTGAATTGAGCTCAACGCAGTCAGTTGGCGAGTGTTAAAATCCCACGTTGTCAGTGTTTTTGGGGGTATTTGTGGTTTCCCCGAGTTCCGCTTCTAAGCAATTAAAGGGGCGTCATTGAAAATAAATTGTCAAATATTTTGGATATAGAAAATATCTAAATTTATACTTTAAATTTAAAGGAATTCTGTATTTTTTACGTTTCTTAAAAAAGTATTTGTTAAGGCTCAGCGAAAACCAGCAAAAAAAAAAAAGCTTGCATTTTTTATTTACGCCAGCTTTGAACAAATTCACATTTTCCCAAATAAAAACGGTGGTGCACAATGTGGGCGTGCTTTTTATTGCCCGATCGGTGGCCAACCCACAATTAAGCCCCCAGTTAACACTTGATTTGTATTTAAAAATTATTGACCAATCCATGGGTACTGATTAAGTTTGTGTTTGTGCTTGTCAAACGACGGACGACTGCTGTTTGTGGGAGGGGCACCGATTGATTTTTGCCGCCACAAGGCAACGGTGGGCAACGGAAATTGCATAAACTCCGTCCGAAAGTGATGGGGATGAATGAGGGAGTGCAGCACATATGAAAATCCAATTTTCCAGTGATTGATCAGGGCGATGAGGGGCAGTGAAAAGCTGGTCGCCACACACGTGAAGTGGGTAAAGTTTGTTTGCCGGGCGTATACGCAAAAATAATGTAATTAAAGCAATGTTTGCATAATAAAAATGAATATTTGTTGCAGTTTGTGTCGCCATTACCACGCACTGCGAAAACCAAGGGGGAAAGTGTCCAGAGGGGTAATGCATTTAGCTGGCCCATTCTACAAGTGTTTACCTAGGCAGCGAGGACCATGGTCCTTTGCTCGCTTTATGCGGGCTGTCAAAATCAGACAGTGTGCACACATGCACCCACACCTCGCCGACATCCCGGAGATTTTATGTCCTGGTGTTGTCCACGCTGAAGAGCATCCTTTCGCCAACCCCCCGAATCTCGACTGTGTTTGTCCAAGTTTCGTTTCACCAAATTATGCTCAAGCATATGAGGGATTTATATCCGCACGAGGATTCAACTGGACTGCATACCACTCGACTCGATTCGACTCTCTCCAGTCTGCTGGCTGTCTGCTGTATTTATGCAAATATTGAAATAAGTCTTAATTGAATACAAATACTCAATTACATTGCGGCAAATCTATTTTGTGGGTCCGACAGTCCGGCACAAACAAACTTTACTGCGGACTCTACACAGACAACTCGTGCACTGAATGATTCTGATTATTGCACATGATTTCGTTTGGAGACTGAAATAAATATTATGTATACACAGCATAAAAAAAAAAATCATGGCCCATGAGGGGATCGAACCCGCGACCTTCGCGTTATTAGCACGACGCTCTAACCAACTGAGCTAATGGGCCTTGGTGACGATAGCGCTTTTCCTTATGAATTTACAGACCGGGGTTCGTCTTCCACGTTTAAAGATCAGCTTTTTTGGGTGTTATGTTATCTATATATACTGATAACTCTTAAGCTGTACTATATACTAGAAAAACGTTTTAATTTTAAAGCCGATAGCATTGTATGTATCTCATTTTCCCCATGTAGGCAGTTTATTTCGCGGCTATAATTAATTTACCAACGACATTAGACGGCATTAATTGTGTTTCTTTTGGGCTCCTGGGGGAGTTAAATGCTGCTCGACAGCACATGCATCATTGCAAGCAGCACATTTGTGACACTTCATTAAAAAGCAACATTACCAAAATCAATTAGAGACATTCCCCCATGCATTCGCATCGCCTAGACAGCTGGGATATACACGACAAAAGTACACAGGCACACGAAGAGCGAGTAAGCTTGTTGTTTTTGGCAAACAAATATACAAACAATTGATATACGTTTCGTATTTGTTCCTGCCAGTACGCTTCTCCTCCCATCACCGATCCGCAAATTGTTTGAACACGAGACGAGACTTTGTTTGCATTTTGAATTGCCGCCACTGGGCGCCCAGAGCAGAAGCTATTTGAACAGAAGTACACTGCGCGTAATTCGCCGAAACAGTGAGCACCCGGTTATTAAAAAAATGTATTATTTCAAAATAGAAATTGCTTTCAGAAATTTCAAAGAGGTATTTTCTTTTCTTTATATTCGAAATATAAAATGCTAAATCCTCGAAACATGGTTTTCTTTGAGTGCAGACACCTAAAGAACTTGTTAAATCGAAAATTAATTAAAAACGTGTTGCTGAGAACGTGATTTAATAAAACTGAATGCGAGCCTACAAAGAAAAGAACCTGTTATCACTCCCTAGTGACATGCTGATCTAGTGCTCCGTATCCTCAGGTGGTGGGTGTGGCACCGCCTTATGCAGCCACTTGCGTAGGTATTCGCTGGTCTGGAGGCCAACCATTCGATTTACCACCTTGCCGTTGCTGATGACCACCAGCGAGGGAACGGAACCCACATTGTAGTCCATGGCCAGTTCCCCGTGCTCATCAATATCGACCCGGGCCAATCTCACTCGACCTTCCTGCTCGGATACAACGTTCTCCAGTCGAGGAGCCAGGGCCTTACAAGGACAGCACCAGCTGATCGGGTGGAAGTATGGTTTCACATAGTTCCATTTAACTGAAGTGTAAGCTCACCTGGCATGAAAGTCCACAACCACCGGCCGATCGCTGTTGATCACACGTTGCTCGAAGTCCTTTCTCGTCTCCACATCGAAAATTGGCTGTTTGCCAGTACTGGTCATTCCCCGGTTTGCCTTCATCAAGTTTATTAGGCGCTTTGCGCGGAATAATCTTCTATAGCTGGACATAATAAAGCTTACGGGTAACTTAAATTTTGGCCTGGATATATTTCAATATAATTTTGATCCGAAAATTGTTGGAACTACAGTGTGCTGACGACTCGAGCCTTTTTTCTACTGAAAATTTTTAGGTATAATCCTATTTGTCATACAGTTCTATAAATTCAAAGGCTGCTTGATCAAAGAATTCGTGTTTTATTTATATGAATCTTATTTGAGTTATACTTACTTATATTGTCTAACTAAAATGTAGATTTGTGATGTTTTTTCCAAAATGTATGTTTACGGCAAATAAGTCAAATGTGTAATTTATCATCAGAATAACAGGTACTTAATATTCGAGGCAGAAGATTATTGCGTTATTTATTCTTTTTTTTTGTTTAATGCTGGGTAATGGACTTGTAGCACTTAACGATTTCGTACCCCAATTCACATTGTCCAGAAGTCCTGATGGAGTGGCACTTTTCTTCTGCTTTTTTCAATTCTGCTACGTCATTAATGCCATACTTCCTTACAAGTAGTTTCCTCGGCTCGACCGAAGTGATCGTGTCATTTGCAATAACACCTTTCAGTTCCAGTAAGCAGTGGTAAAAGCACTTGCTTTGAAGTGAGCTATCTTTAGGATCAAATATGGTATATTCTGTAAATGCATTTCCTAGTTTTTGTTTCATGCAGACTTTTAATTTTGTATAAGGTCTCTAAAACGTGAACAATTTAAAGGAAGGAATTTGAACATTATGTTGTTTACTTACCATAGAAAATGTTTCGAACCAGATGGTACAGAAGACCATGAACAACAGGAATATTTTCATATTGCTAATTTATACAATTTATATGAATTATACAATTTATAATGAATACAATTTCGCTTTTTTCCCTGGGTTTTATAGCTGGCACATTAGCCATGCTTCTCTACACATTATCCTCACTTCGAAAAAACGACCCAAAGCGACTTACCAATCATATTATCAACGGTTTCAGTTTCGAGGTACTATTGTTAACCACTTGATATTTAATCTTGATCTGCTGAAACAAGCGACTGGCACAATACCATTTAAAGTATTTCATTTGTTGTGCTTAATATTCACTCTTAAAATTAGGTTTCGGACTGAATATTCAATAAGTATTCGATAAGAAACTATAGTTTAATCTTGCAGTAACAACGGATTACAAATATTTGTTAAGGTAACACTCTATTTGTTTGAAGCCCTTCTCGCATTTATCGCCCCCTTTGATCGAATTGCAGGAATCTTCTCCATATTCTTTTTTAAATTCACGAAGTGCAAATTGTATCCCAGGTGATACTCTAAAGTAACAGCTTAAAGCACACATCGTTTTGTACTCTACATCATGCCTCTTTAGTAAATACTCCGAAATACCATCTACTGACACATTTTCCCGCCTTGCGCAATCAGAAAGAAATCTGCTTTCCTTCCTTTCCAGTTGGGGCTGCCAATGTCGAGAAGTAGTTAGGCTTGTAGTTTGAAATACATTCACTTACATTGGAAAATGACAAAGAGCGAGCAAGAATGCAAGCTAGAAACACTAAAGCAAGCCATCCGTTCATTTTGTGATTTTTAAATTCAAACAGTTAAGATATGCTTTAAATAGATTTTGCTGAATGTCTATGTGCACGCCTATTAACAATTTCAAGCCTTTCTCAAAATTGATTGCACACCTATTTATATCAGGCAGCTCAATATAAGTTTATTTAACTCGATAATTTAAAATGATCGGTTCACAATTTTGTTATTAGATCTGGGCACGGTTTTCGCTGTAGCACTTGTACAGCTTGTAGCCAGTATCGCACTTGTCGGTTCCCTTGATCGAGTCACACTTGGCCTGCACCTCCTTGAGCCTGGCTTCGCCGGCGATGGGACCCAGTTTGGCCAAAACTACATCAGGCTTTAGCTGCCCATTGGCCAAAAAGCCGCTCTGCTCCAGGAAACAGTTGGCGAAGCACTTGACCTTCGGATCGGAGTCCGCAAAGTTTCCAGACCTCAGGGCAAGGGCTTGCTCCTTCGTGATTCCCTCCTGTTTGGCGCAAGCCTGGGCCCTCAGCTTACCCTCAGCTTTTTGGGAATCAGTTAGCCCCTGTGGACAAAAAGGAAGCGTATGTGTAAGTGTCCTGGCATTTGCAACAAAGGACTTACCACGGCAGATGCCACAGACAGAGCTGCGAGTGCGGCAAACACAAGGAATACTTTCATGATGCTGATCGTAAGCTGTCTAGAATCTCTTAGAATCGAAACTGTTGGCTAAACGTCTCGACAAGTCAGCATTTATACAGTTTGAGATGATGGACTTTGGCCCTGCAGTTGGTTAGTGCTTCCCTTTCAACTTACTTAACTCCGCTGAGAAACACATTAGCTATGCTGACTTGCGGCTTATTTCTTGGTGTCAGTTTTTTACATTCCTTTCGGCTAGATCAGGCTTTAAACTCTATTTTTAAATGGTCTCTTTTAAACTGTGCTAGTTGCAAGGGATGTTCAGGATCTGCAAATGTTTAGCAACCGTTGAAAGTCCTTAGTTAAGATTACATAACTGTGGGGTTCGAACTGCAGCCGGCAATCTGATTCTCATAAAAAACGTACCATTAACATAGAATACTGACTTGCACTTTATTTCCCATAGTTTTTTGTTAGTAAACGAGTATACTTGGTGTATCAAGTAGTGGGTAAACAATAGAAGCATCTCATGGCTGGAGGCTTATATGTATATCTTCTTAGCTTTCAATCAGCCAAGATTAATTTTCTGAAGGCTGCGCAGTTTATTAATAATTTTCGTTGAGCTTTAAACTGTCCTAAGTCATCAGGGATTTCTCCACCCTAGCTCCTAGCTATGACCCACCACACATTTGGGTCACACTAGATTCCAAAATACTGATAGCATTCACTCGCTGGCCAGGCCATATTTACTTGGGCCAAATGAATGATGACCCGCCCAGGCTCAGTTTGTTGTCTAAACATTTTTACGATTCAGGGTTAGAGATAGGATTCTTCTTTGCTGCCTGTGTCTTTACATAATCCCCACTGCTTACACAGGCATCAAGGCGGTTTAGCAATTAGTTTCTGTTCCTGAGAGCATTCAATGTGAAGATAAGTAGCCCCGAGTTTTCATGCTCCCGATGGGGTTTTGTGGGGCTTTGATGGATGATTGACAAGCAAGTGACAAGAAGACGAGAATGTGAAGCTAGTGCTGAAAATGGGTTAATGGTTATGCAAGAAAAACGTTCTGCATGTCATCAGTTATTCATCAGTTATTCATGGCCATGTATAAAAACAGAGGCCCCGCGCTTCAGTTATTAATGTAATTTAAGCGCCAGCTAATTATAATGTTCAATCTTGCTGTCTAGTAAACGCAACTTTCCTTTTTTTACCATTACCATAAGCACAATTACATAAATGACGCTCCTCAAATTTTGACTAAAAGCACACTCCATTAGTGTCGAAATAGGTGTAAAAGTGTAAAAGAGGAGGAATATCGTTTCTAAAAACAAAAGCAACTTCTCTCTTGTGTGTTATCGTTTCTAATTTGTTTCAAATTAAATGAGTTTTAAACATTTTCCCAGCCAAATACAATCATAAAGCGTAAAATATACTGAATGAGTGACGCAAGTGTGGATGTGTTTTTCGGATGGGTGGACGAAAGGATCTGGCGGTTGTCGCTGTTTTTTTGGTGGGTGGTTCGGGTTCTCCTGCAAATGTAATTAAAAAACTTTTAAACCGCATCAACATAAATGTATGGCGCTTGAAATTCAGTGCATTTGACAATTTTCGGTTGGCAAAAAGTTGACATTTTGTCCTCCTGTATGTTGTGGGCAAAAAAGAGCCGCCAAAACATGTCAGACTCGCCCCATCATACATCCTATCTAGCGTTAGCGGTGGCCATTTGTGTTTGAGTTAAATGAAATGCTTTAAAAGTTATTAGCATTCATAAATAAATGTTTGCGGAAGGCATTTATTGATGACGGCCTGTACCCATTTTATGCGTTAATCATTTTTACGAGCCACTCTTCTCGGCAATTTCATTTATTTTAATTGAACCCCATGCCTACCTTTTTTTGGCCATTAAGAATTGAAAGACTGTCCATTTAATTGCATTTAAATCGCCTGCCAAACACCTTAATAGACCATTAAGTCTTGCCAGAACCCTACACATTTCTCCAAAAAGGTTTAGTTTGGCAATATGTTCAGGTAATGAGAACTCACAGCCGTAATGTCATTCCGAGCATTCCAAGTGATAACGCTAAATGGCTTTGCCGTAAATTCGACACTTGAAATTACTTTTTAGTGTAAAATTTAATGATTTCGATGACGATCAAATCGCAACCCAATTACTATATTTATGTTTCTGTTATTGTGTTTCACCCCAAAAAGAAACTTCCCCAATGCAAGCCCCCAGGCCCCATAAGTTTCCATTAGCTTCATACTCATATACTCATTTGCGGCAATGCCTTAGATCATTGTTATTAGTAAATCTTATGCCCCAGTTTATTACCAGCCCCATGATATGTGGGTGGACTCGAAACAGAATCAGCAGTGCGACAATTCCTTGGGGGTCTCTCGCCTCCGGGGTCAAGTTCGTTGAACTCTCCCCAAAATGTTTGGGGATAGTTTTTAGGGGTAAGAATAAAACATTCGGAAACATTGGGTGCGACTAAGGGTGGTTCTCATTCTTGGATAACCATTTAAGATTATTTTTACGCCGGTATTTACTAGATTCTATAGCATTTCAACGTTTTCCATATATATTGCTGATTTCCAGCCAATGCTTCGTTCCCAGATAGACTGAACTTGATTAAATGGTAATTACCATGTCAAAGTGCAGATTCATTGCTATCTGGTTTTCTAATTCAAATAATATCAATGTAAAATGGTTGTGTGGTCGTTGTCTTAACAATATTTCAACTGGCACTCATTAATCACGCATAAAGTGCTTAAATTTAATGGGAGATGTTGAGACCGTTCAAAAAACACCTGAACAGAATGCTCTGCTCACCGAAGCCGGTTGCAAATGAAAGTTTTTGCACAGTCATTTCACGGAAAGAGCTCTTTTTAATTAATTTAATGACTGGCTGATGTATTTGCATATGGAAGTGCACGTGAGCAAAACTTTGTGCACGTGGGTAAATAATCAACTCTTTTGTTGCAGTTCCAAATTCGGTAGACTCGCTCTTGGCCAAGCTTTTGGGGATTGTGGGCGGCGCCTGCTGTTTCCCACTAATTATTTTAACAGCATGCTAGTGGTATCCGTTATCTGACTGCTAAAATATTTTCCTATCCCCCACCTTCGCCGCCAATGAAACCAGCCACCCACCTTGACAGGCAGGTTCCGGAAAAGAAAGCTCAGTTTCCTTGGTATTTTCAGTCCGTAATCCGCATAGCTTATCACAAATTCCGGGCATAACTCAAAACAGAAACGCTGGCCAACCAGTTGGGAGCAAATTAATGGCTCGATGCGAATTGTTTTGGCCCATCTGCCCCATGGCGTTGCAACACTTTCTGATTGCATTAGATGCTTACAATAATTTTGGGGCAGCTCCGCTCGGAATGGGAACGTAAATGGAATATTTTATGCAATTTATTTTGATCAATTTGCACGTCGCAATGTCAGTTTCCTCTTAGGGCGCCTAAATATTCTCCGGATATTCTGGATGCAATCGTGCGTGCCATGGAATGGAAATTTCGCAAAAGAAGCCACAGACTCCACTCTATTATTCGAATATTTTTCGGCCAACGAAAATTAAAAACAATTATTGTGCGAAACAACATTTCATAGCTCTGTTTTCAGTTGGCAGAATGTGCAAAATGTAGTTGGGTAAGTAAGAGTTTTGTATCTTTAATTCTTATTTTTTCATCTGCATTATAATGGTTTTTATTAAATATACTAAACATAATTCCGTGCTTTTTCCTATGCTTTTTTCTTTTTACTTATAAAACTCATTAAAAGACAAAAACTAAATGTTTAAATGGAAAAGGGACCAACCATGCGTGGGATAAGATTTTTTCAACTTTGTCTTTGGTGCCAGCGGAATGTGTGTATTAAACCCATTTGCAGCCCACCTCATTACACACTAAAAAAAGCAATCGAGCATCAAATTACAAAGAAAATAAAATGCAAATAGGTTTTTCCTTTACATTCAGGTTGTTCCTTTTTCCCCGGAACAGAGTCTCCTTTTTTCCATCAAGTTTATCCCTCGGACGGAGTTCCAATTTCATGCAGCTGACCACGGACCCTGTAATTGTAATTGCCGGGCTGGATTGGAGTGGATTAAACAATTTCCACATTTAACATGGCGCCCGTCTTTAACCTTTGCCACAATAAATTTTTCCGGGCTTTTCCTTGCCGCTTTTCGGTATCCAGGCTCCCCGGTTGGAGCTTAATTTTGGTGCCAGCGATAAGAATTTTTAGCGACGCTGTCATTTGGGGGCTTTGGCTTTTACGAGGCGGCACAAAGGACGCATGTCCTTGTTGTGCGTCTAATTAGATGCTTTGCCTAATTAGTTGGTTTTATGTGAGACTCTTTATGCCCCCGGATTACCTTTTCGGTTGCAGTTCGCCAAGTTAAGGTGTCTTTCTCTGCGCCTTCGCAGGGATAAGCCGACTCGTCGATATGTGGCATAAAGATTAGACAGAGGTGCGATACCAAGCTGAGAATGTTATAAACTTAAACGTTTATTAAAAATTCCAAGCGCACAGGAAAATATCCACAGCATCATGACAATAATGCGAGCGAAAGCAGCGCGTTTGCAGCTGATTTTCGCAGCTTGAGATTTTCCATTTTTCCCATCATCGGGCGCGCTGCTTCGACGGCTTCCCCCGTTTGGGTTTTTCAATTTCTTACAGAACGAGCACTGCATTCCTTCACCTGGCCCGTCTTTGATGCGTTATATGACAGGGGGATTGGGGGATAGGAGGATAGGAGTTTCTCGAGGCTTAGGGGTCTCGAGGAGCAGCAGCAACAGTTCGGTCGGAGTTCCATATGAACTCCGCATCCCAGCAGCCACTGACTGGCCGGCCCCTCAACCGAATTGAACTTGTCACAAAAGAATTCATTTTGCAGAGCTCGGAATTTTCCGGCAGTTTCGGGACGGGGCGACGGGCTCGGAAAATGTGCGTTGAAAAGCTTTGTAAGCTTTGCTTGACTGTTGGCCCGTCCCTATACTTTCCCCATCTCTTGTGTTTCGCACATTGTCCCTTTTACAACGCTCCAACGCTCCAACGCTCCATCGGTTCTGGGTTCGTTAACT